TTTCGAAAATAGTGAATTTCTATTCGCGGTGTCCGGGAACCCTCCAGCGCCGAAAAATCGCATTCCAAGCTGGCGCCGAAAAACAACCATTCCAATACACATTTTTCTTTCGAAACTGTGTAATTTTTGCTCCCAGCGTCCGGGAAGTGTCCCGGCGCCAAAATCGCATGCCAGGCTGGCGCCGAAAAACAGCCATTCTAATACACATTTTGTTTTCGAAAATACTGATTTTCTGCTCCGGGTGTCCGGGAGGCCTCCGGCGCCTAAAATCGCATTCCAAGCTGGCGCCGAGAAACAACCATTCCAATACACATTTCTCTTTCGAAAATGCGCAATTTCTGCTCCCGGCGTCCGGGAGGCCTCCCGGCGCCGAAATAGTATTTTCCAGGCTGGCGCCGAAAAACAGCCATTCTAATACACCTTTTGTTTTCGAAAATAATGATTTCCTGCTCCAGCGTCCGGAGACCTCTTTGGCGGATTCTGAGTGCTATCTCCGAGCTATCTCTGAAGGACGCCACAGCCGGCGCCCTCGCTGTATCTCTTTGAAGGACGCCACAGTCAGCCTCTCGCTGTTCTTTTTCCGCTCGCTGCGGCCGCAACCCACGCCAGGCGTGCCTCGGGCGCTCCTGAGCGCTATCTCCGAGCTATCTATGAAGGACGCCACAGTCGGCGCCTTCGCTGTTCTTTTGCGGCCGCTGCGGCCGCAACCCACGCCTGGCGTGCCTCGGGCGCTCCTCCTGCTCTCTATCGTCCTCTCTTTTGAAGAAGCCACAATCGTCCGCCTTGTTTTCTCTCTTGGCGCGTCCTCGCTGCGGCCGCAAACCCCAGCCAAGGCGTGCCTCGGTGCTCCTGACGCCCTCTCCGCGCTATCTTTTGGAAGGACTCACAATCGGCGCCTTTCGCTCGAAGATTTGCGCCGCTGCGGCCGCAACCCCCGCCAGGCGTGCCTCGGGCGCTCCTGGGCGCTCCTGAGCGCTATCTCCGAGGTATCTTTGAAGGACGCCACAGTCGGCGCCATCGCTGTCCCTTTGCGGTCGCTGCGGCCGCAAACCCACGCCAGGCGTGCCTCGGGCGCTCCTGGGCGCGCTATCTCCGAGCTATCTTTGAAGGACGCCACAGTCGGCGCTTTCGCAGTCGCCTTTGCGGCCGGTTCGCACACCAACGCCAGGCGTGCCTCGGGCGCTCCTGAGCGCTATCTCCGAGCTATCTTTGAAGGACGCCACAGTCGGCGCCTTCGCTATGCGGCTGCTGCGGCCGCAACCCACGCCACGCGTGCCTCGGGCGCTCCTCAGCGCTATTCCCGAGCTATCTTTGAAGGACGCCACAGTCGGCGCCTTTGCTGTAGTCTTTGCGCCCGCTGCGGCCGCAAGCCACGCCACGCGTGCCTCGGGCGCTCCTCAGCGCTATCTCCGAGCTATCTTTGAAGGACGCCACAGTCGGCGCCTTCGCTGTCCCTTTGCGGTCGCTGGGGCCGCAAACCCACGCCAGGCGTGCCTCGGGCGCTCCTCAGCGCTATCTCCGAGCTATCTTTGAAGGGCGCCACAGTCGGCGCCTTCGCTGTCCCCTTTGCGGTCGCTGAGCAAACCCACGCCATCCGTGCCTCGGGCGCTCCTGAGCGCTATCTCCGAGCTATCTTTGAAGGACGCTACAGTCGGCGCCTTCGCTGTAGCCTTTGCGGCCGCTGCGGCCGCAACCCACGCCAGCCGTGCCTCGGGCGCTCCTCAGCGCTATCTCCGAGCTATCTTTGAAGGACGCCACAGTCGGCGCCTTCGATGTCTTCTTTGCGCCCGCTGCGGCCGCAACCCACGCCAGGCGTACCTCGAGCGCTCCTCAGCGCTATCTCCGAGCTATCTTTGAAGGACGCCACACGAGCTATCTTTGAAGGACGCTACAGTCGGCGCCTTCGCTGTAGCCTTTGCGGCCGCTTCGGCCGCAACCCACGCCAGGCGTGCCTCGGGCGCTCCTCAGCGCTATCACCGAGCTATCTTTGAAGGACGCCACAGTCGGCGCCTTTGCTGTAGTCCTTTGCGCCCGCTGCGGCCGCAACCCACGCCAGGCGTGCCTCGGGCGCTCCTCAGCGCTATCTCCGAGCTATCTTTGAAGGACGCCACAGTCGGCGCCTTCGCTGTAGTCTTTTCGCCCGCTGCGGCCGCAACCCACGCCAGGCGTGCCTCGAGCGCTCCTCAGCGCTATCTCCGAGCTATCTTTGAAGGACGCCACGCCGTGCGGCCACGTGCCACAGTCGGCGCCGACGTGCTTCTCCAATTACGTTCGTGCTGACCTTGGCGGTTGTCCTCGCGTGCAAGCAATTGCCAGACGAGTGCAGGGCAGCAACTATCCGTTGTACTCCGTGCCTCGGGACTTGCCACCGTGCGTGGTGCGTGGGCCTCCCCATGCACCTGCTGCAGTTGCTACGCTGTTTCGATATCCACAGGAGGCGGTGCAGAGAGGGACGCGGGCAGCTGAACAACGCCTGCTGTGCGCATTTCCTGCGCACCAGGATGTTCAGGAAGTGCGGAGCCCGACGGACGTGGCGGCATACATGACAAAGATGGCTTCTTATGTGACCAAGGCCGCCTACGCACACGGAGATGTTTTATTGCGCAGAGATGACAAGTATTTACACCAGGCCCGTGTGTATCTCAAACACGCCCGTCCTGCCGAATCGCTGCTTTGGGCCACGTTGCTGGGGCATCGCGGGAAGCTTCTCAGCCATGACGTCAAAGCCATCGACCCGCCCACGTTCGCTTCTGCTGGAGACCACGCTGTCTTTCAGAAGTTTCTGGGGAGCCCTTACAGAGATACCTATCCAACTTTCATTGGCTGGCTTCGGCGGGTGCGCCATACCTTGCCAGAGCCCAGGCCCTATGTCGCCAACACGAAGATCGCGGTGGCCATGAACTTCTGCAGCCTCTGGCGTGGCCCTGACTTCTGGCAACAGTGGCTCTTGTCTTTCACTTCTGGCTTCGCCACTGTGCATGACTTGTGGCATGCCAGGTATCGTGCTCTGCCGACTCATCTCCGGCATTTTGCATATTGCCTGCATTATCATGCCGATGTCTGGACACCTCTGCAGGCGCACGCCGTGAACTGGAGACACTCGGATACTCGGGATCGCAGCTCCGCAACGCTGAGTTACACATCGACACGCTTCGAGAAGGTGTTGCGGCCTGGTTGAAGAACGGCTGGACGCAAGCGGCCGCGGCAGAGCAACAGCCCGTGCACGTGATGGCCCAGCTCACTCTGAACCAGGGGCAGCAAGAGATTGTCAACAGGGTTTCGGTGCAGTTTGTTGTGAGAGCCTCTGAAGAAGAGGATCTCGCTTGCAGGCGAGCTGTCTGCGCGAGGGGCCCCGCTGGCACGGGGAAGACGGCAGCACTGCACAGAGTCATCTGTGAGAGCCTCGGGCGCCAAGAAAGAGTAGCAATTGCGAGCTTCACTGCTTTCGTCGCTGATAGCTTTCGGAGGCAGTTCCCTGGAGCCACGTGCGACACGCTGCATGGACTGCTGAACGTGGGCCCTGTCGCGCACAGCCCTATGGAGATGGGAGTGGGCCTTCTCTCGTACGATCTTATCGTTGTCGACGAGGTATGCATGCTTCCGCGCTGGCTCTTTGATGCTCTCTTCTCTGCGTGGAATGCTATCGACAGATTGCCTGTGCTCCTGGTCGCTGGAGATGATGGCCAACTGGCGCCCTTTACCGACAGTGGCGGTACTTCGGCTGGCAACGAGAACTCTCCGCACTGGCGCCTGGTCGACACGGTGACACTCACCGAACCCATGCGTGCAAATTCCACTCTCTGGCCTGTCTTGGTGCACTTGCGTTGCGTCTGGCCTCTGGGACACGACTTCCTCAAGAAGTTGCTTCACGGACGCGTCTGGCACAGAGGGCCCCTGACGGCACAGTGCATGAGAGACCTCTTTCAGGCCAACCCTACCACGGTCCTGGTGTGCATCGGGCGGAAACAGGCTACCAAGCTGAATGCCTTGTGCCAGAGCGCGCTGCTTCCGTCGCACGAGATCCTCAAGACAGTCCTGATTGAGGAAGGTGAGACTCCGCAGGCCGTGCCTCTTCAGAACGGCTTGCCTGTCAGGCTCACTAGAAATGTGCAGAAGCGCCGCGGCCTCATCAATGGAACTGCAGCAACGGTGCGCGGCGTCAGTGATCGCACGGTTCTCTTGCAGGTCGGCGAGAGTGTCGAGCACGTTCGGCTCTACGTGGAGAAGGGCCGCCGCTTCTTTCCCATTGCCCGAGCTTTCGCAGACACGTTGGCGAAACGTCAAGGCAGCACCCTGCCTCACATTACCATTTCGCCTGATGTAGACTACGTGCCTGCCGCTGCCTATGTATGCATTAGCCGAGTGAGAGACATTGATGATTTCCTCTTTCTCGTCCGGCCGCGGCTTGAATTCTTCCTGCCAGCCGCATCGTGCCAATAAGCCTGCTGCCAATGTCGCACGACGGCGTGCGCTGCATCCTCAAATGATAAAAAACGTGAGCGGATGTGACCATCCAGGTTCCTGGCGAACCCGCCATAGGCTCGGCGCCTGGAATGGGTGAAGCATCGCTGTCATCATTACTTCTCTGTAACACTTCGCCCTGAAGTATCAGTGGTCTGCTCGTCTCTTCCCGCGCGTCTATCTCTCGATACCTCCTTGCATGCTCCACCCGTTCCGCGCTTTCCAACTCGCGGGATGTTAACGACTGGTGGAACTTGGCCCGAACATCTCGGTTTGCCGCCGGGTGCCCGCTTGGAGGACAACGCAAGGTAGGATTTTCAACCCGGCAAAAATGCAACGATCATCGACTCACCTCGCCGCACTCAGTACGACTCAGGCGCTCCATGCCTCACGTTGGGGTTTGGAACGCGACTCTGCGCGCTTTTTTTTCCTCCTTCATCATTCTCTTAGTAACATCAGGCTTGCTACAAGGTCTCTCGTACATCCTTCGAGGGTCCTTTGGGCCTTGTGTTCTAGAGATCCTTTCATACGATCTCTGGAGCTCTGGCAGAGCCTTTGGCTTTGAAGTTGTCAGCTACGCCTTCGTTTTCATTGGGACTACAAAGAGCTCCTTGAGGCTTTCCTGGGTCCTGCGAGACTCTCTTCCAGGGGTTCGGGTTCTTTGGTTCGCGACACCGCTCGCGAACCACCACAGCGCAGAATATTAGACAAGGCGGCTCAGCCCCACCGCCTTGTCGGCAAAGTATTAGCCGTGACCAGTAGACACGAACCCCCTGAGATTTCAGGCCGGAGACTTGGGTTTCCTTGCTGCTGAATGTCTACCCCAGTGTTCTCCCAACGCCCGAGCCAACGACCTTCCATCCCAGGGTCTATTCATAACTAACACCCACGGCATGGAAACCGAGATGCTAAATGTAACTAGAAAACTAAAGAAACAAGGAACTACAGTGCAAGCTAGAGTGGCTCCTCGAGGAAGAGTACGCCTATGATTCTGCATCGCATCCATGCGGCTGGTCTCCTTGGAGCGCTCTGGGATTATACTCTTCATCGACATCTCAGGCCGACCCTTCCTCGGATCCACGTGATGGTTGGTGCGACACCATCCGAATTAAGATTCGTGAAACCAAAAGACGGAATGGAATCGTGTCGTATCTCTCACGGATAGCGTCTATTATCTTCCAGTGTCTGAAACGAATTAACAGCACTTGCCCTCATGGCATTGAGCATGGAAGCCAGTTCCTCTGCTCCGAGGAAAGCAACAGGAGACAACAGTCGAGAAACCACGTTTTCACCATCGGTCCAAACTCGTGCCCTGACCTCTCCTGGGACACCACGCATTGAATTTCAATGCTCTGGCCAGCCGTGGCGACAAGGAATCCTCACGAGAGCCAACACACGAAGCAATTTCGACGCTCTGGCCTGCCGTTGCGACGAGGACATCTCCCGATAGCCCAACTTCCCCAACTCTTGTCTCACTCCGCTCCCCTCTGGTATTCGGTTCCGGACTTCCAATCAAAACGGCTGAGCTTCTGTGCCAGAAAGCCCGCCAGCTCCTGAAGCGGGGACGTCTCACAGGCTCGCTCCCAGGATTTGACACAACGCTCAGGACAGGACACCACGAGGGCACCCATCGCTGCGGCTGCGCGCCTCCCGAGAACAAGGCCTGGAGGAACCCACACACGGCCAAGAGGGAAAGCCATCTGCTCTGCCGACAGCACTGTCTGCAGATTAGATGCTGTACAAGACACCAGCCTTCTGCTGTTAACACAGAAGTCAGACACCATCTGTTCCTTATAGACAGAACTCAGCTTGATATCACCCAGCGATACTCCAGCATCTTTACTGAGATCACCGAGAACTGCCAGCGCCGAAGCATGTTCCACCTTTTTCGGGCAGTTCATGACTTCATGCGCGAGGTCGGAAAGTGCAAGCGAAGCGTTCAGAGTCTCTTGTTGACCAGCCTCAGTTGCGGCACTCGGAAATTCCACCTCGTGACGACTGGCGTCCGCCACCGAGGCCGTCTTCCCTCGCACCTCCCTGGTATCAGCTAGCGTAGCCAACTTACGAAACGATTGAACTCGCTCCCAGCCATCTTTGCCCAGAAGATGGATAGCAGGAGGGGCTGCGAGTATCACTCCGCTCTGTTCCTTGCGTGCAAGAAACACTGCCTTTTCTCTTTCGACGGCGAGCTCTGTGAATTGCATCAGTTCGATCAACTTTGGACTGAACATCAGCTGAGTCTTATCACCATCGAGGTCCCCACCGGCCATAGCGCTGTTGACTGCACCTTTTGATGAATACACTAAGGCATTATCCACGACGACTTTCATCGCGTTTGGGATGCGGACAGCCTTGTGCAGTTCAAGGTCCCAGGGCAAGTGGGTCGGGCAACGCCACAGAACCACAGGACCAGTGTAGACGGCCTGCGCCCTTATCACAAGGCATTCACCCTGCTCAAGAACGCCCTCCACGTCACTCAGCGCCATGAACGAACCGCCAGGTCCAGGCATGGACAGCCGGCCGGTTTTACGCACTTTCTTGGTGAGCATACTCCACCGGCAGTTCGCTAACCGCAATGCTCGGCGAGTGCCCTTCTTGATGGCGTGGGGATGCTCCTCCACAACCTTATAATCAAGCTCCCCAAGAGAAGTCTCGGTGGTCCCTGCGTCCTTATCAAATGTGAATCGGATTTGAGAGGCAGGCACTCGGCGAGATGAATTCCATTCCAACACACTAGCTCCGACCTTAGGGGGTGCCTTTTCGCGCCGCTGCCCACGACACTTCAGCTTGTGCTTCACCACGCCCCCCACGGTACACTCCGGAGATGCACGCTCGATGCCGTAGGCGGAATACACATTGCTCTTACGAGTGTGTGCAACCGCTTCCGACACCAGAGCGTCGAGCAACTCCAGACCCTTCCTGCGATCCGTCGGAGACGACAGACACGCGATCCGAGTCCGAAGCACTCCAGCCAAATTAGGCTCTAAGACAGGGTGCCTTACGACACCCGTCGTATCGTTAACAATGTCTAAACCATAGGCAAGGTCGGTGGTTATTCCTTCCGCCCGCGCTTTGACACACGAGCTTCCGAAACGCACCGTATTCTCCTTCAGGGCTGGATCCACACGAATCGTGCCCTTGCACAAAACGGTTTCTCCAAGCCCGTCCGGATCATCCGACCTGCAAAAGAAGATGCCCCGGAACTGTACAGCGTACGTCAACACATGGTCAGGACGACCAAGCTCCGCATCGGTTGAAATGGGTCCACCGCAGGTGCTTCCGAGCCTGTTAACCAGGTCCCTCATGAAAGTCAAGCTGCACCTTGCCTGACCGTCATTCGGGTCCACACCCACAGCGTTCAAACGGTCAAGTTCCGTGTCCCACCAGGCATCCACTCCCGAAACACCTAGCGGACAGAAACATTTTGAAGGAGTCAATAGCAGCTGAATGCGAGAGAGCATGATGTTGGCCGTCATGCGTTCTCCCTTTACAGACTTTGCTGTAGCCAACCAACGGATCGAAGGCGACTGCGCTGGGTTTTTGGTACAGTAGTAAGCCAGACCATTCTCCTTAACGGTCAACAAGTATAGGACTTTTGGTATCCCGGATGGAGCGTTCTGCGATACGTATTTGAGAAGCACAAGTGGCTTGTACTTCTTCTGCCCGAACTTCGCCGTAAAAGCCTGCCCAACTCCCTCTCGGCCCGAGAGTTATAATGAGCGGACACCACACCTTCGGCTGGCTCCAAGCGTACGGGCTTGACAACGACGGCTCGGAGTGTAGGCTTGTCGTGCAGGTGGGAGCCCGACATCGCCCCTAGCTTCCGTTTTCCATTGAGCCGCGAAGTCACGTTTGCACTCGGTGCGCGACCGGACCAGCCGGACCAGGCCACCACCGGACTCGCATCCAATCCTCCAAGGACCTTGCCCACTGTAACCTCCAACTCCAACCGTCCTTCCTTCTCAGCACGCTGGTCGTTGCATCCGTCCTGGTCTTCACAGATTATGCTGTTGCCAGCGTCGGCAGGAAGCGCGTCAGGGTCCCCCATTCCTGAAAGGTCAAGGCTTCCCGTCGGCAAATCCAAGCCTTCATCTGTATACACGTAACACAAGGCACGTGCGAATACCGCTGCTTGCTCATCAAACGATGAGAGTTTGAACTCCACAACCGCCTTCATCATTGACACCCCCGACTTGGAGAAAGCCTTCGCACGCACCGAGTCATCTTTAAGCAGCGCGCTCACTTTGCTTGGCCCCATACGCTCGAGCAGGTCCAGCATCTTGTTCTTCTTCTGCTGGACCGCGCCCTCCCCGAGGTACTTGACCACCGCCTCCTTCGCAGCGGCGAGCAGGGCAGCCACGAACTCCGCGTTGTAGCGCACGCTGGAAGCCATTGCTGCACCTTCCTCGGGTACGGGTTTTTCGAGCGCAGGAGCGTTGCTTGATGAGCCGAGTTGCTTTGAACCAGAATGGTTACGGACTGCAAATCTGGAGGCTCGTAGAGCCGACATCGAAGGATCAAAAAGCAACGTCGCTATGGACGCTTGGCTGCCACAAGCCGGGAATCCCATATGGGTATTTTATGGGGTGGGCTGGTGGGTTCTCTGGTGACGCGCCCACAGCGCGGCACTCCTTAGCACGCTCGTCATGCTACTTGGGTCATCCCTGTGGTAACTTTTCTGACACCTCTAGCTGAACATTTCTCAGACCTAAAGGATCGATAGGCCATGTTTTCACATTTTGTATTCGTACTGAAAATCAAAATCAAGCAAGCTTTTCCCCTTTTGGTCCACATGAGATTTCTGTTCTCATTGAGCTCACCTTAGGACACCTGCGTTATCATTTAACAGATGTGCCGCCCCAGCCAAACTCCCCACCTGACTATGTCTTCCGCACAGATCAACCATCAAAAAATACAACCTTAGATCCAAAACTCGCTGTGGTGCAAGTCTCAGTCTAACGGAATAAGTAAAATGACAT